GATGTATCTTAAGGTTACTTTATGTATTTGTAAATTTTCTTTATTTTATAATGTATATTTTACTGAGTTTTTGTGCATTTCATATAATAGATATTAAACAAATTGAGACACCCTCCATCTTTACCCCCACAGCTCCCCACTACCACCAGATTTCATGCATTCTATCATATATGTGAAATCCTATCTGGTCAATCTTTTGTACCCAGATGTCCTGAGGTGCAAATTCATCCACCGGAGACTAGTCAGCCTATCTAGAGTCACTCCCTTAAGGAAGCTCTGCTCTCCCTCATGCTGCAGTAATCAGTTGCCAATAGTTCCTTGGCTAAGGTTGGGGTCTGCTGCCCATTTCCCAAGTTCTATTTTGTGTTTTTGTCTGATTGAGTCTACATGGATCTTGTGCATGCTGTTATCATTGTTGCAAGTTCATATGAGCAAGTTCCCAGAGGCCTGAGAGTCTGTTTCCATATGTTCATGCACCAATGCTGGCTCTTACAATCTTTCAGTCCCTGAACCATGGGTGGGTGAGGTTTAATATAGGAATCCTATCCATGGACATGTACTCTGCAGTCTCTAATTCTCTACACCTTGGCCAGCTATGGCCTTCTGTGTATATCACATTCTGTTGTATGAGGAAGTTTTGCTGGTTAGGGTTGAGGGATATATTTGTGTTCTTTCTACCCCCGTTCTGCTATGTTCCTTGCTTTACACAACTAGCCTTAGGTGTAGAGGTTCCAGTGTAAATGTGTTACTTAGGACTGGACATCTCTCAGACATACATTCTCTGTGTGTGACCAGTTGTGGAATTCTGTAATAGCCTCCATCTGTTGCAAAAAAGAAGTTTCTTTGAGTGGCGCATATATACTTCAGGGTGGTAGGCAGGTCAGTGGCAGGCAGATCAGGAGGGGGGCCAAGGGCAAGGCAGGGGAAGGGACAGCCTGTGGAAGGTCTAGCTGGAGAACTGAGCTAGTCTGGGTGAAGGGGATCAAGTCACAGAAGGCAGATCCGGACTAAGAGATCTCAAACAGAAAGAGCAGTAGCAGGCCTAGGCTCAAGGCTAGAAAGGGCACAGAGCTTGGGGGGAGAGCAGAGTTGCTCGGGGTACAGGGGAATTAAGGCCTATTTGTAAATTTTCGATACTATTTTTGCTTTGGTTATTCTTATTCCAAAGTATCAGTTGACAAAAATTGTTCTGAAAGATAATAATTCCATCTCAATGTGAACAACTGTTACATTAAGAAATCAGGGATGTTTATCAGTTAATAAAATGCATAAAATATAGGGATAAAGAGTTGCTCGGGGTACAGGGGAATTAAGGCCTATTTGTAAATTTTCGATACTATTTTTGCTTTGGTTATTCTTATTCCAAAGTATCAGTTGACAAAAATTGTTCTGAAAGATAATAATTCCATCTCAATGTGAACAACTGTTACATTAAGAAATCAGGGATGTTTATCAGTTAATAAAATGCATAAAATATAGGGATAAAGCTGGGTGTGGTGGCGGACGCCTGTAGTCCCAGCACTTGGGAAGCAGAGGCAGGTGGAGCTCTCATGCAAGTAGTTTAAGTCATGGTTTTGTTCCTGAGTGTGTCCTAGTTATTAAACAATGACCACTATGTACATGCATATATGTGTGTGTATATATTTTATCCATATATATATATATATATGGATAAAAATTAAGTTATTTCTGTGCCTGGTGAAGCCCCAAGAAAGAATACAGAATTCAGCTTTTCAGTACATACAGAATGAGAGATGAATTCTACCATCCCAAAGATACCAGTGAGTACATCCTATGCTGGTGTATTTACTGTCACCAGTGAGGCCATCGTTCCCCTGGAGTGGTTGCATTGCAGAACAATGCACAGCTATCTTTTTTCTTAAAGCTAGCTCATCATTCCTATTCAATATTCATCTTAGCACCTCTATCTGTTTGGGATTTTTGTGGTTGTTTGAATTTCTTATACAGACTTTAGACATTTTCAAAATACTCCTAACACCTCCCCAAATTAAACCAGAGTGTTAAATTATGGCTGCCTGATAACTCTTTGCTGAGGCTAATATAGCAAAATGAATTATTCTAGATAATCCTAGTAAATTCTTTGATTTACATAAATGGGCAGTAAATTTTATCACTATATGACACTGAGTTATCAGTAATCTGTCCATTTTGTTGTTCTTTGTATGAAATGATTACTCAAGTTTTCATTTTGATACAGAGTCAAATAGCTGGCCTGGGGTAAAATAAGATTTCCTGATCACAGTCCTTGTAGCCAGGACTCTTGAACGCATTGGAGAAATGAGAAGCAATGTCAGTGACAAGGTGATTAGGAGGAAAAGGCAGGAGGGAATGTTCAGTCAATCTAGTACTAATTATTTCTCATCTGGTAACCCCACTTTGGAAAATATATAATGTCTGATTATAACTACATTTTCCAAAACAGGAATACCAGAAACAACCTAAATCTCAGCACTTATGGAACTTGCAAGAAAACATGAGGTAAGAAGATAAATTCTTATGAAATAACAGAAACATTTTATAGAAACACAGAAATGTATAAGAATATGTTTTACCCTTTTTTTATAAAACTAAAACATAAAAAAATAATGAAATAATTGTTTCATAGTGATAGGCACAATAAAAGGTTTTTTTTAATTTAATTTTTTTTTACAAGAGAAGTGCTCTTCACTGTCTTATTTAATAGGCCTAATACAGCATTGAAAACACTCTTACAAGGGGCTGGAGAGATAGCTCAGCAGTTAATAGCCCTGACTGCTCTACCAAAGAACCCAGGTTTGGCTCCCAGCACCTACATGGAGGCTAACAACTGTCTATAACTCCAGTTCCAGGGGATCTGATGCCCTCTTCTGGCCTCTGCATGACATGGGTGTACTTACATGCAGGCAAAGAAGTCATACACATAAAATAAACATAAATAATAATAATAAAACAAAAAAAAACATTCTTCCAAGGCCAAGCATGGTGGTACAGGCCTTTAGTTCCAGCACTCAGGAGGCAGACAGGCAGGTGGATCTCTGTGAGATCAAGATCAGTCTGGTCTACATAGCAAGTTCCTGGCCAGCAGGGGCTACAGAAAGACCTTGTCTCAAAAACACAAAACAAGCAAGCAAACAAAAACAAAAACAAAAACAAAAACAAAAAACCCTTACTCTTACAAGGTCTTAAGGAAATCATTCTAATTATAGGCAAACGATAACATTTGTGCATATTATATTTAAGTAAGTTCATAGATTTATATCAAGTGTTCATATAAATAGAAAGATGTATGTATGCAAACTTGAAACACTGTTAAAAGTAAAAGCAATCTAATTATATAGGATACATATTTACAAGACATACATATTTGTTCCTTTTTGTATGTCATATGATCCTAAGGAAGCTCACACAGAAGGAGACAATCCTCATTTCTTCTAAATCATGTCACCTACATGTTAATTATGCAAAAAAGGTAAAACCAAGGTTATTCTAGCATGCCATGTCAAAACTGATGAGAGGATCCAGGCCTGGGATGCTCAGAAACCTGTTCATTAGAAAATCATTATTGGAGCATGGTTTAAAAAAAAAATATATAAATATATATATATTTTTTTTTTCTCCAGCTTGATGCTTAGGAATGCTAAACTGAACTAGACAAATGATGGTAACTGAGCAGAAAAAGCTGTAAAAGGGAAGAAGGGGCAAAACACAGTAGAGGGTTTCATTTCTCTGGCTGGGAAGACAACAGAGGTCATAATGAAGGGAATGGGTAGGCCAGGATGATACAGGGGAATAAAGGATCCATCCAAATACATGTGTATATACATATATACAATAAAAATCAAATCAAGAGGGGAAATACAAGATTGTGAGGGCTGTTTTGTTATAGTTAGGAAAGTACCTTAGAGACAGGAACAAAGTCAAGCCGTTTTTCTCATTAAACATTTATTACTCTGCTTAAATCTGTTTAAAGCACAGAAATACTACCCAGGCTAAGAACTACCCTTCTCCCAGTCAGAATGCTGAGGTTAACTTAAATCTGATTGACATGCAGTTGAAATACGTGACTGTTTTCCCTTGATGTCAGCTTTTAACAGTGTCAATATTATAGGTGGGTCCATTCCTCAACTCTTAGTGGACACAGTGTAATTCATAAAGTTGCCCAAAGGCTTTTAAGCAAACGGCATCAGTGTCCTTTATGAGCATGATATAAAAGTCCTTCATCTACCAATAGGACGCAGGTCAATTAAAAATTTCTGCATTGCCCAAGCAGGAGATAATTCATTAAGCCTTGTCTGAGGAGGAGAACAAAGCAAAGGCACGGGGACACTGGCCTGCAGTGCTGTGAGCTGGCAAGCCCAAGTGGCATCCCTGAGTTTCCTAAGCACCATCATTTTATTTATATTTATTTATTTATTTTTTGTCTTTTTGAGACAGGGTCTCCCTGTACTTCCAGCTGACCTGAACTCACTATGTAGACCAGACTGGCCTTGAACTCACAAAGATCTGCCTGCCTCTGCCTCCTGAGTACTGGGATTAAAGGCATGTACCACCACGCCTGGCCTAGCACCATCATTTTTATTTCTTATTTGTCACACTTTCTCTATTTGAAAAGTTTTTATGAAGCTAACATTATACTAACATTAAAAGAATTTTTAAAGACAAAAATCCACTCACAAATCTGCCACTATGCTAAAGTTCTTCACTTTGCCCACAGGCATATAGAGTTTGTACTCTGGAGCACGCCATTCACAGCATAACGGAGTCAGACTTCTACAGAGACATCACTTACCTTTCCCTGACAGTATGAAAGGCCAAACTCTCCCAGCTTGTTCACTTAATTAGCAAATATAATGAGAAGCAAAAATAAGCGATAGGTACATCAGAACATGACAGTTTAATGAATTCCCCCTTAAATATATACCACAAATAGCATGTGTAACCAAAAAGAGCAATTTGCAGACGTCACAAAATTCCTATTTCTATGCTACTTTTCATCTTACCTCTTCTCCAGACAGATAGTAGGCTGACAGCAGTCCACCAACAAAGCGTATATTTACTTCAAAAACAGAAACCTCAGCATTCTATGGAAACAAAATGAAGGAAATTCAAACATGATAGTACGCACAGTGAAAACACAAGAGATAAGCTACGGGAATTTAAAGTCTGTTCAAACCGGGGTGCTTGCCTAGGGAGACCTATGTACAAGAGGAGGGAGTTCCCCACGAACAGTGCCAAAATATGGTTAAACAGATAAAAAATAATTTTGACTCCAAGCAAAATTATAAAAAAAACTTTTAAAATAAAATTCTTTCTTGTATGTGAAGCAGTCATAATACTTAATATTCCGTATTTGTACAAACTCAGTGCTATTGGTCTTTTTTTTTCCTATTCTGTGATCTCCTTTATTTTACTCATTTGCCTGCTTTTTCTCCCTGAAAGGCCAATCAGACTCCACTGTGGCTGCTAGCTCTTCTCGTCTAGCAATCTTCCTACATTGTGCTAAAGTTGCACAGATAGAATGCTAATAGGATAAAAAGTCAGGGCTTTGAGTTCCAGTGCTGGGTTCCAGCTTTCACCTGTGCCTTTGGATAGTCACACCTCTGCGATGACATTTTGTCTTTGCATAAAAGTGATAATTTCATTACTGAAGTTCTTATTCATATCAAATGATAGCTTGTTTTATTATTTACATTGTAACAGATGCCGAGCTAATCTCCTTACATAATTATGTCTTTCAACCCTCATGCTGATTACTATTCCTATGTCTCGTTATAGATTCAGAAACAAGTCAAACTTACACTGGTTAATGTGACTTGTTGAAGATCACACAATAGTGGTAATAATTAGGATCTGAATGGGAGTGCTTTAATTCTTGGCTCCACACTTGGTTATTCTGACCTCTACAACTACCTCACAAACTATGTACCATGTCTTGCTATTAGTGGCCAAATAGCTGTGATATATAATTAGTAATTGCTAACAATATTTTTATGATTTCATTACATTTGACTACTACAGGTGTCTGCCATATATTTTGTTACTCCATAATCAGCACAGCTGACCTCCAACAGCGACAAGGTACACTTCATTGGGCCTACTAAGTAACTGTCATTTCTGCTTAACATCAAATCACTCACAGATAATGATAAGAGCTAACAGCAAAGAACATACAGAGCCAATATCTGGAGGGTGAACTTAGCCCCAAATCATCTAAGGTATTATCACCTTTAGCAAACATTTATTAAGCAACAACTATGTGCCATCCCCTGTTCTAGATGCTAGGAACACAGCAATGGAATCTGACAAAATCCTCAATGAGTCTATGTTTTAGTACATCTTTTAGAAAACATTACCAGAAACAAAGAGGGGACAGACTTTTTATTTCCACATGCTCTCTCTAAAAGGGTACATAGATCTAATAACTAAAGCTAATTACACAAGTTTTAAAAGTTGTGTAAAAATTACATAAGTTAAAAAAAAGTTGTGTTTTTCAGTTTCTAAACCAGAGAACAGTACCCAGATTTTTGCTTACTGAAATCTATGGAGATGATTTTCTTCTCCTATTCTGTCTATAGTCTTACTGTGTACACTTTCCTCTTCCTCCTATGAAAGGAGGACTGATTAAAATTATTGCAAGGTAGGGGACTAAGCCATGTCAAATGCCATCAGAAATATATCTTCATCTAGACATCAATCACTTATTGGATGCCATTATTCAAGCAGCTATTGATCCAGCTCTGTGTGCATTCCAGAACCTAACTTCTATTTATCTTGCTGTGCTGTAAGATGTTGAAAGATAACCTTGCAAAGTGCTACACTCAAGGTCAGGTACTATGATATCTGAGTTTTGTCGATCTAATCGGCTAGGGAGCCTAAGACACAAATCTGGACTATTAGTTGAAGCCATGAAGGTTCCCAGTGACTGGAAATGTCCTTGTCTTTGAAAATCTTGCTCAGGAATGTCACGACATCACTATTGGTAATTCTTAACAGTTACTATCTTCTACTACTTGTAAATTAGAACTACATTTGAGTCCTTGAAATATAATTCTTTCTCCCTCATTTTTTCCCAAAGTTATATTATTTAGAAGCCTTACTTTGAGTTCTTGTAATATTCCAGGGCACGTTATTTTTTTTAGGACAGAAGACCGAAATTTAGATACTATGAGTTCCTTATAGTTCCTTAGGTAAAAAAGAAGATAAAAATTTGCACTACAATGAACTGGTTAGCAGCTATAAAAACACTGGCTTGGGGGCCTGGGGAGAAGGCTCAGTGGGCAAGGGTGCTTGCTATACAACTATTAGGGCCTGAGTGTGAATCCCCAGCACCCATGGGGAAAAAAAAACACAAACAAAAAACCAGTGGGCATGTGTGTCTATTACTATAGCATCAGAGGCTAGAGGCCAGAGAAAGGCAGATTCTGGGAGCTTGCTGGCTAGGTCAGTCAGCCTTGCCAAAATGGTGATCTTCTAATTCAGTATCAAGGGAATAAGGCAGAGCATGACAGAGGAGACACCTGTGGTCTCAGCACACAGCTACATGGGTTCCCACACCCCCAACCCATACACTTATATACATATACCACATAGATATGCTCTCAAAACATATACACGAATGAATGAATGAATGAACGAATGAATGGAGTCAGTGAAATTGAAATGCTGGCCTTGATTAGGAAGGTCAGGAAGGCTAGTTTGGACTCCTTAAGTGTGAGATTAGGTAGCTCATTTGCTGTTTCTAAATCCTGGCTTTGTCACTTGTGAAAGGGGGTAATGCATTCCCTACAAGGTATTCTGAGCTCACGAATAAAACTTTGCACAATACACAGAAAAAGTGATATACTCAAGCAGACAGCTGTTGCCACTAGCCCTATGAGTCAGCTCAGCCTGCATAAACCAAAGCCCACTTCTCATGGGGTTACTGGAAAATCCAATATTCCAATATCACGACAATAATAAAATTATGTGTACCTTCTATAACCTTCATAAGGGTCAAATATTTCTTTCAATAAGTTGTTCTAAAAGCTTTCCACTCACCTATCCTAACAGAAGTGGGGGTGGGGCAGAGAAAGGACAGTGACAAAGCAACTAAGAACACTAAAATCTCATCAGCTCATCCCAACATTATGAATTTTACCATCTACTTCATGTGTTTTAAAATGAAATTAACCCTGCCCTTAAATATTTCAGTTAGAGTGCATTACAGAACTATGCCCCATATATTCTGTGGTGTCTAGTATATAATCTTATTTGAGTGCCAGTTTAAGAAGTATATCCACATTTTTGTTTAAATTGCATGCACCTGTTAATATCACAACTGATTAGCAATTATAGGTTGAAAATGTTTAGCTAAAGATCTACTCATAAATAAATCTGGATTAGAGAATTTCTCTTTCATTTTGTTTTTCTTCTATCAATGGGTGTGTAATCAAAGAACATACTTAAGCAAATTCATCCATAAACTTAATAAAACTTAGGTATTACTAAATTTAAATAAAAATCAGAAGGGGAGTACTGTAAATCACAGAAAAAAGTAGATAATGGCTGGTCATCTCTTTTAGCCACAGTATAACTTGGGTTCCTTAGATCAGTCATTTCAACCTTAAATTCATGCATTTTCTTAATTTTTCTTTCCCCCTGATTTATGAGACATACATAAAATTATGGGATAATGGAATAAAGATTGCCAAATGGAAAATACATACATAAACTAATGACTTCCCTTATATATTCCCGTCTTAATCCTTTACATCAAGACCCATGCCTGGACTAGAAAAGGCTTCATCCTAATCATCACATCACCACAGACATGAGGACTAACAATGACCAGGTGACAGAGTGATCCTTCTAACCCTGTTTCAAAATAAGTGCCTGGAAGACCAAGCTCCTCCCACCAAAGCAAGACAGCATTGTAAAAAGCTCAGAGAAACTCCAGTTGGACTGTGCTATCATAAACAGCTTATTCACCAAAACTACCTATAAAATGATATACTTAATAGATACCAGTAAGCAAAATAACAAGCTTGGTTAGGAGAAAAACAAATTTGGGTTCTGGACCAGATTTTTTTGTTGGGAAAGTAAAGAACCCTAAATGTCCCATGAGGAGATAATTTATTTCTTTGGGGCTTCAAGTCATAGAGTATTTAGAATAAAGCTTGTTCCAGATTTTCCTTAACTGTTAGGATTCTATACAGCATAACCTTTTCATTAAGTGAAAAAGATCTCTTGGAAAAGAATTTTGGGTTACAAGTTTAGAAAAACTTAAAAAATTTTATTTCTTTATTTTTATTTTTTGTGTATGAATATTTTGCCTGCACGTATGTAAGTGCACCATGTACATGCCCAGGGAAACCAGAAGAGGGCGCTGGATAGCCTGTAACTTGAATTAATGATGGGTGTCAGCTGCCATGTGGGTGCTGGGAACTGAACCCAGGTCACCTACAAGAGCAGCCAACTGCTCTTAACTGCTGAACTGTCTCTCCAGTCCCAGAAACTCCTCCTTCACTAGCCATTCCGCCAAGCTGTCAGTTTTCTATGAGTAAACTGTGCATGTGGGATTCCTAGGCTATTATATATGATATGCAAAATTTAGTAAGAGCTGCCCCACTACATACCACAGCAATGACTGTGTTTAGTAACAACCACTCCACTACAATCCAATGTGGTAACTACATCCCAGAGCAACACTCCTGTACTCACACATAACTACACTTTGCCTTATAGACATGAAATGTTGCATGGTCACTGATCAAAGGAACTGCCTATAAGCCTGGTCTATGTTTACTAGTAACATACACCTCCTACTTATGTCCTAAAAGCTACTTCAAAGTGTATTGCTTGACCCTTTGAGGATTAAGAATAAGCTAAAACTTCTGATTAAAATCTTAACAGATTAAAGTGCAATAGTTCCCATCACTACTCACTGGGTGTCCTAGCAGCTTTTAGTTTCTTAACTAGTATAATATGTTTCATTTAAATAAAACTATTTGATTATTTTTATTTTATGTATATGAGTGTATTGCCTGCATGTGTGTAAGTGCACCCATGTCGTGCAATGCCCAGGGAGATAAGAAGACAGTGT